TGTATCCCCTTTTCCCCTTTTGAGTTGTTCGCCGCCCTGAGTCCCTCCCGGAGAAGGGCGGCATATAAATAAACTAAATCTTAAATCTTAAATTCCTCAGCTTTCCCCCCCACCCCCCCACCCCATCTTACATCATCTTTATCTTTTGATTGTCTAGATTCAAGGTGGAGACCCAACTGGGACTGGAACAGGTAAAGACTCTCAAATTTTCTTTTCTTTCTGACAAAAGCAAATTGACCCAAACAGCACTTTTGTGCCAGCCCAAGGGGGCGTCCAGACGGAGAGCCAGCCAGGAACGGGGAGGCAGGGTCATCCCCAAATCCAGACATGAAATAAATCCTTATGAAGGCCAAACTCCTCCCCCTCCCCCCCATTCTGGATGCAGCCCTCACTTTGAGACTTTGAAGGAACAGATGGGCAGGGGGAAAGCAAGCGCACACGGCTGCATTTAGATCGGTCTGTGTGACTGCGAGGGGGCAGGAGGCGTGGGAGGGCGGGAGGGTCCGCTTTCCCTGGAGGGATTTTTTTTTTAAAAAGGGAGCATTTTTGCTTTCTCTGTGCCTGGAGTTGCATTTAAAATACGTGTAGAGGCAGTTCTCGAGTTAGGACCACAGTTGAGGCCACCATGTCTGTTGCTGAGCAAGAAAGTCGTTAAGTGAGTCTTGCCCCATTTCACAATCTTTCCTATTCTCTTCTATTCTTATAGCAGATTTATTATTATTTTTTCTTATTCATTCTATTCTATTCATTTATTCTTCTATTCTCTTCTATCTTCTCTTCTGTTCCTTTCCCTCCTATTCTCTTCTCTCCTATTCTATTCTTATTCATTCTATTCTATTCCATTCATTTTCTGTTCTATTCTATCTTCTCTTCTCTTCTCTCCTCTTCTATTATTTATTCTATTCTGTTATATTCTATTCATTTTCTATTCTATTAATTATTATTATATATTATTCTAATTATTCTTTTGCATTCTGTTATTATTCTATTCATTTTCTATTCTATCTTCTATTCTANGAGCCGGTGAGATTTGAACAGCCGAACTGCAGAACTGCAGTCAGCTGAAGTAGCCTGCAGTGCTGCATTTAACCACTGGGCCACCTCGGCTCTATCTATAAACTCAGCCACGGCTAATTTATTTATTTATTTATGATTTATTGGTTAAAATTAATTGCAGATAGTCCTCAAGTTACGACCGCCGTTGAGCCCCCCCCCCAAATAAGTTGCCAAGTGAAACGTTCATTAAGTGCATTTCGCCCCGTTTTACGGCCTTCCTCACCACCGTTGCTAAGTGAATTGTTGCATTTGTTAAAAGTTAGTTAACATGGTGGCTCAGCGAACCTAGATTCCCAAACGGACTTTGCTTGTCGTAAAATCGGATCTCGCAAACCCACCCTCATAAGTATGAACCAGTTGCCATGTGTGTGCATTTTTTTGGTTATGTGACCATGGGATGGCTGTAATGGCCGTGAGTGTGAAAAATGGTCGTAAGTCCCTTTTTTTCAGTGACGTAACTTTAAACGGTCACTTAATGAACTATTGTAAGTCGGGGACTGCCTGTATCTCACCGTGGGGCTCCTCTAGGCGGCTGAAGACCATGAAAAGGAAGAAATGAACAGAACGAGATTGTGTTGTTTCTCTGTGTCATAATATATGTGGTTATATGCCCATTTTTATTTTTTTATTTATCTTGTCATGTTGAATAGAATAATAGAATAGAATAATAGAATAGAATAGAATAGAATAGACTTCTTTATTGGCCAAGTGTGATTGGACACACAAGGAATTTGTCTTTGGTGCAGATGCTCTCAGTCTACGTAAAAAGACAAGATACATTCGTCACAAATCATCAGGTACCGCACTTAATGATAGTCATATCATTAAGCAATCAGGAAATAATCAATGTCAATATGAATGGAATGGAATAGAATAAAAGAAGGAAAGAAGGAAGGAGAATAGAATGGAATAGAATAGAATAGAAGAAGGAAAGAAGGAAGGAGAATAGAATGGAATGGAATAGAAGAAGGAAAGAATGATGGAGAATAAAATGGAATAGAATAAGGAAAGAAGGAAGGAGAATAGAATGGAATAGAATAGAATAAGGAAAGAAGGAAGGAGAATGGAATGGAATAGAATAGAAGGAGGAAAGAAGGAAGGAGAATAGAATGGAATGGAATAGAATAGAAGAAGGAAAGAAGGATGGAGAATAGAATGGAATAGAATAAGGAAAGAAAGAAGGAGAATAGAATGGAATAGAATAGAATAAGGAAAGAAGGAAGGAGAAAAGAATGGAATAGAATAGAAGGAGGAAAGAAGGAAGGAGAATAGAATGGAATAGAATAGAAGAAGGAAAGAAGGAAGGAGAATAGAATGGAATAGAATAGAAGAAGGAAAGAAGGAAGGAGAATAGAATGGAATAG